ATGCATGCATGCATGCATACATACATACATACACATACATACATACATACATACATACATACATACATACATACATACAGACAGACATACAGACATACAGACATACAGACATACAGACATACAGACATGCAGACATACAGACATACAGACATACAGACATACAGACATACAGACATACAGACATACATACATACATACATACATACATACATACACATGCACATGCATACATACGCAAAATAAGTTCACATGTGCACATACACATCCCCCCCCGAACGCATTTCGGACTCCCCAGGCTGCTGGGAAGCCCCTCCTGGGCTGCTCGACCTGCTGGGAAGCTCCCCCGGGGCTGCTCGGACGCTCTTGCAAGGGGGTTCTTCGACCTTCCGGCCTGAGGTGGTCAGACCACTCTTCGCTTGAGACTCCCTCGCACAGCTGACTTCGGAGATGCCCTGCCCCATAGTGCTCGGGCCTGTTTCGCCTGAGACATCCTCGCAACGTCAACCTCGGATACGCCTTGCCGCGTAGCAATCAGACACGTAGCACTCCGACACGTTCACAAGGCCTCCAGATTTTTCCCAAAGGTTCTGGCGGCGCCCGTCGTTGAGTCCCTCTCTCAGGTCCTCCTGTCTTTCAACGCTCACGGAGGCCAGCTCCCAACTTCTTGCATCCGCGGCAGTTCCAGCGACCATGCCATGACTTCCAGTCCTGAGCGTTCGTGCCTGCATGTCCTCGGGTCCGCGGGACTCCTCCCATTACTGTTTCCCTTCGCCTGCCTCCTTCCCACTGCCGGCTGAGACATCCTCGCAACTCTAACCCCACAGAAGCTCTGCCCAAAAGTTGTCCGGCCACTTCCGCTAGAGCCCTTCTCGCAACTCTGGGTTCCGGGGCTCCTTGAGCTGAGGTGCTCCGGCCACTCTCGCTAGAAACATCCTCGCAATTCTGAATTCCGAGATGCCCTGCCGCAGAGTAGTCCGCCACTTTCACCTGAGACATCCTCGCAATTTTGGATTCGGGGGTGCCCTGAGCTGAGGTGTTCAGGCCATTTTCGTTTGAGACATCCTCGCAATTCCAGGTTCGGGTATGTCCTCAGCTGAGGTGGTCAGTTCATTTTCGCTTGAAACATCCTCGCATCGCTGACATTGGAGATGCATTGGCCCGTAGTAGTCTGGCTACTTTCGCCTGAGACCCTCGCACCTCTGAGTTGCGAGATGCCCTGCACAGGGCGGTCAGCCATTACCGCCTGAGATACACATGTGTATGCGCACCCATAATTACATATAGGTGCGTGCACCAACAAACACCTGCGATTGACATATACATATACATACACATGTTTGTATGTAATATGTATACACCTATACAACAGTATACATGTGTTGTATACACACAGATATATGAGCAGAGCGTGCATGCGCGTGCGCGTGTATACATGCATGCGCGCATGTACGCACGCACGCACCCCGCTTGCGTGCGAAACTCAGAGGACCAAGGTGCATGGCGCGCAGCGCCAATGTAGCCTTGTGTACATATATATATATGTATGTGTGTTTGTAAACAATTATATGTACATACAGGTGTATATATGTAAATACATATATCAAGGCAAAGGGGCGGAACGGTCATTAATTGTGCCTGGGTGCGTGGCCGAAATGGGGGAACGTTGTGAAAATTCGACTTGTTGCGGTGTTGCGCTGTTGCGTTGTTGTTGTTGGTGGTGTTGCTGTTGCTGTTGTTGTAATTGTTGTTGCTGTTGTTGTTGCCGTTGTTGTTTGTTGTCGTCGTCCCACCCGCGACCCACCCCGCGACCAACACCGCGACCCACCCCGCGACCCACCCCGCGACCCACCCCGCGACCCACCCGCGACCCAACCCGCGACGCACCCGCGACCCACCCCGCGACCCACCCGCGACCCCCCCGCGACCCACCCGCGACCCATCCCGCGACCCACCCGCGACCCACACCGCGACCCATCCGCGACCCACACACGACACATCCACGACCCACTTGCGACCCACCCGCGACCCACCCCGCGACCCACCCGCGACCCAGCCGCGACCCAGCCGCGACCCATTTGCGACCCACCCCCAATCCACCCGCGACCTACCCACACTTTTGTTAACGAACAGAATCGGCGCCTGCGGAGGGCTCGTTGTATAATTCGTGAAACTTAGGCGCTTGCGGCGGGCTTCTCCAGAGTGTCGCAGACTGCCGACGTCCCCACCGCCCCCTCACTCTTATCCGCATCTGCGGGGTGCTATGCGTATATGCACTTGCGCAAACTGCGAACACAACAAAATCGCTCAGCCGCTTTACCACAAATCCGGCATGGTCTGCACATGCTAACATATTCAAGTTTACAATCGCTTGCCGTGCGCGCATACACTGCCGACGGACATCGGCGCAATGCTGCAAATAGGCGCAGTGTGCTTAACTGCATGGATCATCCGAGATCTACCGCATCCTTCCACACATGTTAGTTTTCTGTGTGTCGAGGGGTCCAAAGAAAGAAACCTTCAAAATCATTGCACTGCCGATGCTCCCAAATTCCCGCTCGATTCGCAAAGCAGCCCATACCCTGGCCAAGAAGCCATCCTCTCCCCACTGGGGATACCTTGGCCCCGCCGGCTGGGCTACCACTCCTGGGAGGGGATGGGTGCCGTCTCCTTCGAGTATCGCAGCAACCATCTCAACCAAAGGGGGTACGCTTGGAGAACTACCTTAATTACCCTGTCCCAGGAAAGGTTGGGCAGGCTCTGATCAGCTTCCTCTCATCCTGCTCATTGATTCCTCCTCGTCCTCCTTCTCCTCCTCCTCCTCCTCCTCCTCCTCCTCCTCCTCCTCCTCCTCGTTCGCCTCCACTTCCGCTTAATCCTAAAATTCTCGAGCAATCCCGCCAGCTATTCACGGCGGCTGCCGGCTGCGAACCGTCTCCCCACAGCCCCCTTAAAAACCCACAAAGTGTCAATATCACCCACGTTTCATTGAGTTTTCATGTGTGTATGCTGTGTTCGTTGCATTGATTCTTAGCACAGTGGTTGATTATGTTTGGACCGCTGCCGTTTGATGTTCAGGGGCCCCTGAGTCATAGGAAAAGGTTGCGTATTCTTTCCCAGATCATCGAGATAATCAGATCACGTACATCCCGAGACAGACGTAGTGTGCTGCCATCGGTTGAGATTGGTAGCGGAGCCGGAGATCCACACCCATCTCCGGCACCCCGTCCCCGCGCCATGCCGGCTGGCGCGACGCCGCCCCGCGGAGCGGCGAAGCCGCCAGGACCGCCGCCGGCGAAGCCGCTGGGCACCTCGCCCCTGCCGCCGCGGCTGCTTCGGCTGCCAGCGGCGTGGACCCCGCTGCTGCGACCACTCGGGTCCCCGGCAGCGAGGGCGACGAGGCAGCCTACGCCGAGGAGTGGGCTGGCTGGACGGGCGGAGGCTGGTGGCGCCAGGGGAGTTCCAACTGGGACGGGGGCAGAGGACTCGACGCGGGCCTGTCCAAGACGGCGCCCAGCTACGAGATGCTGAAGACCGACGGCTACCGAGCTTTCAGACGAAAGCTAGAGGTTTTCGAGAGGTGCTGCCGCAAGCGCGGCACGACCGCCATCAGCGAGGAAGCGTTTCTGGTCATGAACTCGCTGCAAGGAGAGGCGGCTGAGGCTACGGAAGAGATCGACCTGGACCTGCTAGAGACAGACGAGGCCTTCAGGCCGCTGTTCAAGGTCCTGGATGAGTACTACAAGTATGATAACCAGACTGAGCTGCCAGCCCGGACGGATCAGTTCTTCGGCAGGTTCGCCCGCCAGGAGAAGGAATCCATGAAGTTGTACTGCCTACGACATCAGCGCGACATAAGGAAGCTGAAGGAAGTAGGCATGGAGATCCCAGATATGCTAGCGGGCTGGCACCTCCTCACAAGAGCGGCGATCCCACCGTCAGGTGCCGCCCAGGTTCGGAGTCAATGCGTAGACGGCCTCAGTTGGCTGAAAGTGAAGAAGGCGTTGCTCGACACGTACGGAGCCGAGGGTCTGCCCGACAAGCGCGACGTCAAGCGAGTGGAGAAGATGCTGCTCGGGCAGAACACCAAGGACGATGCTCACTACACGAACGATTACGAGTGGGAACGAGGCCTGAGCTACGAGGACACGTACCTGGAGGAGGAAGAGCATGACGATGAAGATGAGTACGAGTACGAAGATGCAGACGAGGAGGCCGAGATCGCGGAGGAGTTGCCCCAGGATGTTGAGGACGCTCAGCTCGCGTGCGACGAGGCCTACCTGAGTTTCGTGGATGCCAAGAAGCGTGTGGCTGAGATCGCGAAGTCCACAGGCTTCTACCCGATCGTCGCCGTGGCGCCCGACAACAACTACCGTGAAGCACGACCGGCCCAAGCCCCAGGCAAAGGCAAGGGACGTGGACGTGGCAAGGGTAAAGGCAAAGGCAAAGGATCCAGTCAGCCACGACGAGATCCATCAGCGTTCAAGTTCCCGAAGGCCCCGTTCACCCGCTCGCCGCCTGCATCGAGTGCGGGATCGACCGGGACGGGATCGACCCAGCAGCACGGCCCGAGATTCAAGAGGTTCCGCCACGGCGGGTTCAGCAGGCCGGAGACCGAGTCAGGTAACATGGTCGAGGACGTCGAGACGTTGGAGTACGCGAACTCGACCGAGGAGGTGTTCCTGCTTACGGTCGGCAAGGGCATCAGCGACGGAGGCGCAACACGGCCCGTCATGGGCGACAAGGTTTGGGCGCAGTGGGAGGAGCTGCTGCGCGTGAAGCACTTGCTGCACGAGGTCAAGTATGAAAAGAGTGATCGACGGTTCAGGTTCGGAGACGGTAAGACGCTTGAGGCAAAGAAAGCAGTGACGTTGTCGGTATGGCCGTTCGGGATCAAGAAGCAAGTCACCATCCACCTCGTCGAGGGGTGGACGCCGCTGCTCATCGCCAGGCCCTGCATGGAGGAGTGGGGTCTCATTCAGGATTAGCGAGCAGGCACGTTCATGATGAAGGACCTTCCCGACAAGGGCTGGATGAAGTCTGAACGAGATGAGAAGGGCCACTTCATCATTGATCTGTTGGGCAGCGCCGGGAAGGAAGCAGACGACGCCATGAACGAGGGCGCTCCCACGGACGGCGAGGAGAGCAGCGACGACTCGACGGACAAGGACTCGGAGGGGAGTTCTGTGAAGGGGGAGACCGACGACGGCAGCGACTCGTCGGTGCCCGACGCCGACGCCTACTACATCGAGACCGTCCCGGAGTTCTACGACATCGGCAGCGACGACGAGGCGCTGACGACAGAGGGTTTCTTAGACATGGACGCGGACACCTACTCAGACCTGATCTTGGCCCTAGAGCAAGCGGAGACCGACATGAAGGACACGCTTAGAGGACCCCGCGAGCGCGTGGTCTGGAAGGTCTTCGTGGACCAAGGGGCGCTGTCGGAGGAGCTGCTGGAGTTCCCGCAGGTCAAAGTGACCCAGTTCAGGTTGGCTGACGGCTGGGACTATTCCAAGCCCAACGTGATTCGCAGCTTCTTGAGTAAGATCGATGAGGAGAAGCCCGATGACATCTTCTTCGCACCCCCATTCAGGATATGGTGTTCTTGGCAACATGTCAATGAGAAGTTGTCGGAGGAACACGCGAAGGAGATCAACCTCACCCGACAGAGAGAGGAAAAGACGTTCCTCAAGATGGTTCGAGATTCTTTTGTGAAGCAGCAGAACGGCGGACGTCATGCGCACGTAGAAGGCCCGTGGCAGGGGCTACACTGGCAGACCAAGACCTGGCAGAAGCTGCCTGGATACCACTGCCGGCTCGACCAGTGCAGGTTGGGCGCGAAGTTCGAGATCAAGGGTAAGTTCATGCCGTACCAGAAGCCCACGCGACTCCAGTCCACGAACAAAGAGTTTGTTCACCACCTGAACATGAAATGCAGCTGTACCGAGGAGCACGTGGTTTTGCGCGGCAAGCTTGCCCAGCAGGCTCAGAACTACCCGAGACCGATGGCGCGAAGAATGGCCTACTTGATCGCCTATCAGGGCATGGCCGATGACATTGAGGATATCAACACCGCCGAGGAGGTCTCCAAGGATATCGATGCCATCGAGTACACCGACGTGATGCAGGAGCTGATGAAGCATTTCAACGTGTCGACGATCAGGGCGGTCAAGCGCGCTCACATCAGCCTGGGCCACCCTTCCAACGCGGCACTGGCTACCGCCATGAAGCACGCGAAGGCCCCGGCCGAGTGGCCCCAGTGTGCCAAGCTCTTCCAGTGTGAAGTGCCTGAGCAGGCAACGACCTCGAGCAGTGCGCGTAGCTGTGCTGCCGAAGGCTAAACGGTTCAACGAGGTCGTGAACACCGACGTCTACTACGTCAACTGGAAGAACAAGGAGCGAAAGATCTTGACCATGATGGATGAGTTTACGCGCTACGAGGTGGACTACCCGATCGCGAAGGAGACTTTCAAGAAGGAGGTGAAGCTGTTTCAGAAATTGTGGATCAGCTGGGCTGGCAGGCCCGACACCACGAGGATGGACATGGCAGGCTCGCACACGTCAAGAAAGATGCACCAATGGATGAGCAAGCACGACATCACGCTCAACCTGATCCCGAAGGGCGCGCACCACAAGCTCGGACTTATGGAGCGCAACCATGCGGTCAGGAGGGAGCAGCTCAGCAAGTACCACCTGCAGTTTCCCGACGACTCGCTCAAGACAGCGCTCAGGATGACCGCCAGCCAGCGGAACACCTTACGCAACGTGCACGGGTATTCGCCCGCGACGCTGGTGCTGGGTACACAGCCCAAGGTGCCTGGCGCGCTGTGCGACGAGGACTTCGGCCTGGCGGAGCAGGCCGCGCTGGTCGATCCCAAGAGCGAGGTGCACGAGATGATGGTCAGGCGCGCTGCGGCGGGGACGGCACTCATCGAGGCCAACTGCTCTCGTGCCGCGCGAGCTGCGCTGTTGGCGCGCAGCAGGCCGACACGCCGCGAGTACCAGATCGGCGAGTGGGTCTACTTCTGGCGGCCCGAGATGTCGACGGGCATGGAGAAGTGCCACTGGCATGGCCCGGCGCTGGTGGCGGCGGTGGAGTCGAAGGTCAACGAGGACGACGTGATGCACACGTCCGTGGTGTGGGTCACGCACGGGCGCACGATCTACCGATGCACGGTGGAGCAGCTCCGTCCCGAGCTGTCCAGCGAGACCCGAGAGCGAGAAGGACGACGCGAGGACCCAGACAGCCCACACAGCACCACCGAGAAGCTGAGGAGGGCGCTCAGGCGGACCAAGGGTACCCGCAGCTTCAGCGACCTCGCCGAGGGGGGCCAGCGGCCCCAGTACGACGACACCCTGGACGACATGGGCGCACAGCAGCCCGGCGCCCAGGGACACCCCGATGGAGATCCTGTTGGACAAGAACGAGAGGAGCCGAGTGGAGCGGCTGCCGCGGCAGCTCCCGAGGCCCACCAGCCAGCCGAGGCTGGCGAGGAGGCGGCTCCAGACCCCGCGGCTGCGGGGGCCAGCGCTGCGCGAGAGCGCGGCAACGCTGCGAGGGAGCCGAGCAGAGTTCACATCGAGGCGATGGCCAAGAGGAGCATCGAGGAGGCCGAGAGGCTGGACGGCACCCCCTTGGCAAAACGCGCCCGCATGTCGTGGGCCAGGCTCGCACCGCAGCAGGAGGAGTCGTGTCTCATCGAGGAGGTGGACGACGAGATGATGTTGTTGGAAGAATCCACCGAGACAATCTACATGCTGGCTTTCAAGAGGAAGGCCCCCACCATCGTGGAGGGGAGGCTTACACCCAAGGAGCGGGAGCAGCTCTACGCAGCCAAGCTGGAGGCCCTCGAGGTGTTCAACAAGAACGACGGCTGGGAACCCATCGACGATTCGGAGGTGGACCCAGCGGCGTGTTGCCCGCTACGCTTCCTGCTGAAGTGGAAGGTGAAGGACGGGCAGCCAGTGGCCAACGCTCGAGTGCTCTACCAAGGTTTCAAGCACCGCGACGTGGCCGAGGGCCAGCTTGACAAGGAGGTGCCCACTTTGACCAGGCTGGGCCGACACACGGTCATGCTGTGGGCATCCTTGAGGAAGTGGAGACTGTTCGCTGCGGATGTGAAGTCCGCATTCCTGCAGGCCGAGGACGCCAGTGTTCACGGCATCAAGCTGTACGCGAGCCCGACGAAGGAGATGAGGGACACGCTTGTACACCAGATCGGCCTGCAGCCAGGACAGTTGCTCAAGATGATCAAGCCTTGCTTTGGGGACCCGCGGTCGCCCAAACTCTGGCACTACCGCTCCGACGAAGTCACGAGGGAGATCGGGTTCAGGAATCACTGGCTCGAGGATTGCTTGCTGCTGTCCTTGCGGGCCGCGCGGCCCTCGGACGACCCGCTCGACGCGTGTAGCTTCGACGGCCAGACGTTCGTGGTGGACGGGCTGATCGGCAAGCACGTGGACGACTTCATCGACCTCGGCGAGAACGTGAGTTGCGAGGATGACCTATACGCCAAGCTGGACGACACCGAGTGCCTCCAGGCGCGGCTGGGCATGCTCAACGAGAAGTTCATGTTCGGCAAGTGGGAGTTCGGACCGAGCCTAGTCTTCACCGGCGGCGAGGTGGAGCAGTCCCTGAGCACCCACGCGATCACCATCAAGTTCGAGAAGTACCTGCACGCGGCGAGGCCCATCACCGTGGAGAAGCACCGGCGGGCAGATCCCACCAGCACGCTGTCGCCGAAAGAGCTCACGAGTTTCAGGACCCTGAACGGCCAGCTACACTGGCCGGCAGCCCAGGGGGTCATCATCGCGGCGGCGACCGCATCGTTCAGAGCCGCAGCGACTGGACACGCGACAGTGCAGGACTTGCTGGATGCGAACAAAGATTCACGGCTCCTGAAGGCCAACGCGGATGTGGGACTGTACTTCGGCTTCGACAGGCCGTGGAGTAAGTTGCGCGTTGGAGGCTACTCAGACGCGAGCTGGGCCAGCCGACCTGACGGAAGTTCCCAAGGAGGCTATCAGATCTTCGTCGGACCCGAGGACGAGCTCAACGCCGGCACCCCGACACCGTTCGTGGCCATGGAGTGGGCCTCGAAGAAGCTGGTGCGGTTGTGCAGGAGCTCTCTGTCCGCCGAGGCGCAAGCCGCGGCGCTGGGACCATGAGTCTGAGGTCTGTCCGCCGAGGCGCAAGCCGCGGCGCTGATGTGGGTGAAGGTCTTTTTGGCCGTGAGTCTGAGGCCTGACCTCGGACATGATACCGCCATGACATACCTCGGAGAGTCGCCGTTCATCACGGACGCAAAGTGCCTCTACGACGCCTCGCGGTCAGCGACGGCAGGATTGGGCATCGCAGAGAAGAGAACGGCCATCGAGGTGAAGATCGTGAACGAGCAGCTGGCAGAGGTCAACGCTAGGTGGAAGTGGGTGAACACCCAGCAGCAGATGGCAGACGGACTTACCAAGCTTTCGGCACGCCAGATGATGGCGGATGTGCTACGCCGCGGAGTTCATGCCTTGCGCTACGACCCCGACTTCGTGGCCGGCAAGAAGCTCACCAAGCGTGCGATGGAGCAACGCGAGAAGGAGCTGGACCAGGCAAGAGAAGAATTGCTCGACACCTTCGAGAAAGAGCCCGTGGCGAAGGCGAAGGCTAAGGCCAGGACGCGCCATTCTGGCGCGAGTGGAGCTTGTTCGGCAGCTACGTTGGCAGCTTCGGGAGCGACTGGCTCTGGAGCTGAGGTGATACAATATACGCCCAGGGGCGTCGAGCTGCTCCACCCACCGACCAACGACGGCTGGGACAACCTGCTGGCGAGGCTGGCTACGTTCGGATTCCTGACGGCGATGCTCATGGCTTTTGGCTGTGGATTCTGGGTCGGCACCTGCTGGACGCGCTGGACTACGACGAGCGCTGAGCAGAAGAGCATCAGGCCGCGTGAGCCTGAGACCGAGCCGACGGAGAAGCACTACGTCGAGGGGACCGAGAAGATGACGACCGGTGTGAACACCAAGCAGCCACGACAGAAGAAGGTGCGTCACATGATGTGTCAGGCGCAATCGTTATAACCTGGACACGCAGACGCCAAGGTTCCAGCAGCTGCCCGAGTACGCGCACGGAGCTTTCATGGGATAGAGAACGACGAAGGGGACCCAGCCTACGGCTACGTGGCGGGCATGAGATGGTGTGCATCGAGATGCACAACTACGAGCGCCCACGAGGCGCGGACTTGCTTGCCTGGCGAGAGCGACCGATCGCCCGGCGTGCTGAAAAAATACGGAGATGTATGTCGCTGACGCGACCGCCGGTAATTTCACATTCGAGTTTTACTGGCTTGTGCACGGGACCTGCGGTGACAGTGATGTCTGTCTGTGTTTCGCTTCGGTCCCGCTCCCGAAAGGTACTCAGCTTTTGTTTAGTTTTGTTGTTTGAGTCTCCTGGTAATCGTCCGGGGAACCCTGAGTTCAGGCAGCGTATCTGTGCTAACCTCTTTTTCCGCCCGTGTCAATATCACCCACGTTTCATTGAGTTTTCATGTGTGTATGCTGTGTTCGTTTGCATCGATTCTTAGCACAGTGGTTGATTATGTTTGGACTTGATGTTCAGGGGCCCCTGAAACATAGGAAAAGGCCAGATTATAGAGATAATCAGATCATCCGTCGAGACAAAAAGCCACACCTGGCGTGACATTCTCGGCCTGTGCAAGGCGTGAGGGTGCCCATTCTCTGTCAAAAGAAAAGACAAGAGGTAGAAACTATCAACACGTTCACCGTATGTGTTCTGACATGGTCTTTGCTTGCGTACCTCTGGGCCCCATGGCAGCGCAGGCAGGGACCTCACCACGGCTCAGATCTACCCGCTGTGTACTAAAAAAATCGGCGCCACACGAGCTGTTCCAGCAACAACCACCAAAGCTACTCAGCAGGAACGTAGGAACAACAGAAATATTATTAAGAAGGAAGTGGAGATCGGGCCAACTGCCCACCGCACCGATACTGGCCAGCCCGACCCTGGGCCAGGGCCAGGCTGACCAGGATTCCATACTCCCATCGTACTAGAAAACCACATCCGAGAAATAACTTCGAGCATCTGGAAATGTCGAATCAGCGTCGAACGAGTATCGCCTCGCAGGGCCCGACATGTGAAAACCTCCAGTTTCGGTACGTTCTTGGTGCTCGGAAGTGTCTCTGGTGATCAAGGCTGGATTATGCAGGAACACCATGAAACCAGGATCGGTGAAACGGTCGGCCAGCTGGCGCCGTCCAAAAGAGAACAGACAAGCATCGCGCACCAGCATGATGGAGGGACCTCGACCGCACGGCGCGAGGCAAGAGACGAAAAAATAAAAACGCAAAAACGACAGTGAATGTTCCGTCGCAACACGGCAATGGCGATCCGCACGCGCACTCGAATTGGACGAATCGCATCCGCCAACTGAATTACCAAAACCATAGACTCTTTCTATTCTAAAATAATATTCGTAAAAATGACACAACAAAAAAACACACACAAACGCAAACGCGGATCTAAAAAAAACACGAGAAAGGCACGAACATCGAATGTTCGTGCGCAATGCTCGCGAGAATCACTCTTGCACATGCATCTTCGCTGCAAAAAAAAACTGCCCTTCGGGAAAAGACAACCAATGCCGACCGAGATTTATCATGGAAAAATCAAATCGACCGAACTAAAAAACATGACTGCAAACAAACGGCTCGGCTTTCTCAAGCCGTGCCCTTTAAAATCATACACATCTGAACCATCCGCAGCAGCGAATGAAAACAACTGTTCTTGGTAGCGTCTTCGACGTAACCTGAAAACTCTACAATCCAAGGCTTGCTGTTCACGAAACAACCACTACAAAAAAAAAACGGCCGCGCCAAACTGGTCAAGCAATTTGGCGGCCACACAGGTGAAACGAATCATTCGAATGTATAACAACACTTGCGCCCACGAATGTTGGATCATGCTCGGCCTGGTCTCTTATGTTTCAAATTTGCACGAAAAAACTCTGGGGGAATAATGTAAATTATTTTTTTTTTAAAAAAAAAAAAATAAAATAAAAAATCAATATTCCCGCAATCAAATCAAAGATTGTCGAATGAAAATAAAACAAGAAAACTAAAACATCCGAAATAAATGCACTAAACCTTTAAATACGACGCGACATGAATTCTCTCTTTAAACTGCTATCAATTCGATTGCGTGTTTATGTTTATCTACCTATGACCTATGATGGCTAATTTATAATCTGCAGATATTTCTTGAACGAACAATAGAATATCGGACAAATAGAAATAAACTCTAAAGAAAATCTATTCCACTGACATTTAAAGAAAACCATAGTTCGTTGCGAAACCGTATGAAAAATACGTATTACTCATCTCATAAGTGTTTGCTCTGAATATTATCAAAACTTGTTCTACTACAAACTACACGGACAAATCGAATGCGTTTATCCAAATCAATCCTCGGAAAATAAAATGCTGGAAACATCTTATACATCTTCCTTAAATATTGAAATTGAAATTGTATCTCCTTGAAAAATTTAAGGTTCTCGCACGTGTGCAACCTACATCCGCTAAGAATCGACACAATTCTTTCGATTCAATCAAATCTCATTTTTTATAGATGTTATAATACTAAAATGCAACATATGACAACTGTTGACATGTAAACTGGAAACACCGATTCGAAACTTGCGAAACTCAACAAGTCTCTGTGTTTCACAAATCTTAGAAACATGCGAATACTGCCGGAACATGCAAATACTGCCCAATACTGCCGAATCATAAATTATTCTGATAATCACTCTTCAATTTCCTATCTTCGAACTATCTTTAATTTATGAGTAACTCTCAAAAAAAATAACTACACATATGAAATAAGATTCTATCATACATGTATGTGAAACAAACAAAATATATCATGAAAAGTGAATAATCTAACTCTATCTTACTTTTAATTTCTATTATTATCTTTTTCTTTCACTTCAAATCGTCTTGTCTTCGGGTTTGAACGAACACGCATATTTATATACAACATACATTGACGTATCAATTAACATGTATACATGCAATGCATATGTCTGTGTTGTATTGTATGTATGTATATGTGTGTATATTTTTTTATGTGAATATTATAATATATAATAGATATATATATATATTTTTATAATATACATATATATCATATACACATTATATATATACCATAAGCCCACTCCCACTCTCTGTCTCTCTCTCTTTATGTATGTTTGTTTATATGTTCATGAATAAAGAATATTGTATGCATGTATATGTAATATTAATGTGTATACGCGCATATTGCATCGCAGCGAGTATGCATGTTGTTTATATTACATGTGAGTGTATATGGTGTGTGTATGTGTCTTAAAACATACACACACGTATAATATATTTATTATATATATATATTATATATTAATATATATATATATATATTATATAGATATATTATATATATATATATATACACACATGTGTGTTCTTATTCCTGTCTGTGTTGGGGCTTGTGATTTTCCTCCCACCAAAAAGCAATGGAGTGCGCATGATTCCGTGATCATGTTTCCCCACATCCAAAAAAGGGTTCTTGTTTTCTTTGGACACCCCGCGCAGGAACAAGAACCCACCATCATCACCATCACTCATTCCTCACTCACTCACTCACTCACTCATCATCCCTCACTCACTCACTGACTCATCAGCACGCACATATGATGATGATGATGATGATGATGATGATGCTGATGATGAGTGTGCGTGTGAGAAAGTGTGTGATGATCATCATCATCACCAGTCAGTCAGTCAGTGAGTCACTCACTCAGTCACTCGCCTTGGGCCTAGTCAGTGAGTGAACTGTGAAGAAATCTCAAGAGGGAGCCCCTTCCCTATGGGGCCCGCGGCTCATGTTACTAATCCGAGCGGGTCAACCAATTCCTGTTTCTGTCACCACTTTTAGGGCTCTCGCGCTGCCAGAACGCCAATCGCAAGCCACATCTGTGAGTGAATTGCGGAAGTCTGAAGCGGGAGCTCCCTCTCTATGGGTCCGGCGCGTCATATTACTAATCCGAGCGGGTCATCCAATTCTTGTAACAGTCGCCACTTTTGGGCTTTCGTGCTGCCAGAACGCCAATCCCAGGCCACATCTGTGAGTGAATTGCGAGGAAGTTTGAAGCGGGAACCCCGTCCCTATGGGGGCCGCGGATCATGTTACCAATCCGAGCGGGTCATCCAATTCTTTAACTGTCGCCAGTTTTGGGTTCTCGCGGTGCCAGAACGCCATTCCCAGGCCACCTTTTGAATGCCCGGAGCCAACTGTAGGCCACTTCGTGTTCTTCGTGCTCCCAGAACCCGGAGCCAGCTGTAAGCCTCTTCGTGTTTTTCGTTTTCCCAGAACACCATTCCCGGGCCACTTTCTGAATGTCCGGAACCAAAACAGAAGGGCAAGGCAACGTAGGGAGCGGGGGGAGGGCCCGCGCCAGGGCGACAAAAAATATACGCAGAAGAGGCAGCCAAGACGCGTCACCAACCACGAGGACGACGGTGAGTGTTTTTTCCAGATTCGCCCAGACGATTATCATGCGGGGTCCTTCCGTCGGAGTAATATATATATGTATATATGTATATATATGTATATAAATATATATATATATATATATATATATATATAATATATATATATATATATGTATGTATGTATGTATGTATGTATGTAGTATGTATGTATGTATGTATGTATATATATATATATATATATATATATATTATATATATATATTATATATATATATATATAAATATATACATACAGAAATACACGCACATGTGTGCTCTTGTACGTGGGTACCTACGAGCAGACGTGCAATTTGACACATGCATCCACGTGCACATGTGCATTTGCAGTTATCATTACTTATACATGCAGGTGTATATACGCAATGGGGTAATATTGAGTGTATGCACGTATATGTATATGTATGTAGACGTATATGTACATGTACAGGTATATGAATGTGTATATGTATGTATGTATGTGTGTATGTATG